GGCCTCTCCCACAGGGCAAGCACTTGCTGCTGCTACTTTGTTTTCAGCACCCCGACCACGGGTGAACCAAGACCAGAAGGTAATCGAGCACAGTCCTCCTCGGCACTAGCGATTGGTAGCCCTGTGGCATTCTGAATCATTTGGGACTGAGTCTTCTGTGGCCCAGGGACAAGTCTCTCTACAACAAAGATGATAGACACGTGCCTTTGCTGACAGCAGTGTTCCATTTGTTTCTTCGAACGAGTCTTGCTGCTGAGGGTACCATCTGCCGGCCTGAACTTCCAGCCTGTTGCTCACCAACTTCCTCCTTACGTCGCTCACGGTAAGTCACCGGAGAATTCGAGCCCTGTGGCTCCTCCTTGAGCTGTACCCTTGGCCTCAGCACTTTGATGAAGCGTTTTAATCCTACACGCGAGACCCGCTCGTTGTACTCAGGGAAGCCCTGTCCGTGAAATAATCCAAACCCTGTCAAAGGCTTCAGATTGGGATATAAAGTGCTCTGTCAGTAACGCAACCTGGGAGCATCTTTCAAAGGACTGTGTCCTCACAGAGACATTTGATTTTAGTTTTCATGTAGGTTTCATTTAGACTATCCCAGCTAATCACCATTCTTCCCTGGGGAATAGGTTGGCTTGAATATCGCTGTTGGGGTGCCACAGACCAGATCCCCACCGTCAGGCAGGGGGCAGGCCTCATGGTTCCTTCAGCAGGAGTTGTAAACATGGGTGGTAGCCAGTGTGGTTCAGTCCACTGTGGACTGAAGTGTTCAGCGCCCTCCACACATCCCTGATGACTAGAAAAACACATGTGGAGAGTTATGCTTTTTACCACTGGCGTTGCCTGGTTTTATATCTCGGCATGGCGGGAGGGGTGCATTCTCATTGTGATACAACCTGGTGGAGAAATGAATCGAGCCTTGGATCAGGGAAAGAGGTAGCTCTGTTTCCTCCTTTCTCGGGGGCTGAAGGGGGTAAGAGCTTGGACTCAAGGTGTACAGAGAAAAATCGAACAAGGCTCTCTCGGGGGACTGAGCCAGCCCTTGAACTATAGCGTGTAGGAGGGAAGGGAAAACAATCCTACCTCTACAGATCCTAGGAATCGTGCGTTGCGATATCTGGTTTAAAATGTTCTTTCTTCCCTTGCATCCCTTTCAAGATGTCAGTAGTGTTTTATCCGACATCAGAGCTGGCACACCCTGGACTACAGAGAATCAAGACAGGACCCGTGTCCTCTTGGCATGGGCTACCCTGAGACATGGGCCACATCCCTGGGGTTGTTTCTTCTGAGAAACTCGCGTAGCGAGAGCTTGCAAAACAGTTGTGTGATGGCGAGAGGTGACCAGCAGAGGACCCAACCAGTGGTCCAGAGTGAGAGCTAGTAAATGAGGACCAAGGTAGATTCGTTACAATGCAGAAATATTCCCTGAAGATTCGCAGGAGTGATAAGGTGGAGGAGTCTCCCAATAAAAGATATTTTATAATACATGAGTAAAATATAGTCTAGGAGCTCGGGCAAAATTAGTTGGATATTAAGCGGAAGGGGCTCCCTTGAACACTAAAGAACCTTGAGAAATTAAAGGTCCGTATTGTTCGCTTCCTTCTGTTTGGTTGCCCATGGTTTTACATCTCCTAAAATAAACTCAACTGAAGAAGGTTGAGATCACCTTTGTTAAGACGTTCAAAGAGGCGCCCCTGGGTGGCTCAGTGGGTTAAGTGTCTGACTCTTGATTTTGGCTCAGGTTATGATCTTGCAGTTGTGGGACTGAGCGTCCCATCTGGCTCTGTGCTGGCAGCGTGGAGCCTGCTTGGGATTCTCTCTCTCACTCTCTCTCTCTCTCTCTCTCTCTGCCCCTCCTCTGCTCATGCTCTCTTGTGCGTGTGCTGTCTCTCAAAATAAATAAATAAACTTCAAAAAAAAGATGCTCAAAGAAGAAAATGTATTTTATGTGATGATCAATTTCTGGTTAGAGCGTACTTGCAGGAAAAACAGAGGGGAGTTCGGGGCTAAGTGAACGTGCAGTTTAGTCCTAGAGGGAAATGCAAAATGTTAACATCGCGAAAAACGGTCTCATTAAAACTAGAAGCATATTTACAGGGAGTGGAACCGTGTAAGTAGGAAAGAAGCAGCCTATTTAGTTTATGGCTTCTAAAAGGTGATGGGAAAATCTTGTGTTAAATAGCTGTGCGCTTAGTGTTACAAACACAGCGTTAGAGATCTAGGGAATAAAATACAAACTTCCACGTGGATGTGGCTGGGTGTAACAACGTGTTTTTTGTTTGTTTTGTTTTGTTTTTGTTTTTTATGTAACAGCATAAAAACACCCCAAAGAAGGAAGATGGGAAAGATTGCTGAATAAATAAATGCTGTTGTTGGGAATAATTGGAGAACCATTTGGGGAAAAAATTTACCTTAGAATCATATCTCATACCATGATACACTGCAAAATTACTTTAAAATCACCCAGGACCTATTTCTCCCTCCTGCGATAACCAATTTTAACTTTGTTTTAGGGAATAACCTCTCCTCTTGTATGTGTGCGGTGGCGGGGGGGTGGGGGGGGGACTATAAATCAAGGTCCTTTGCCCTTTTCTGGTCAAGGGGTAGCAGTCACCTGAGTCAGGACAATTGGAGTCTATCTAAAGGGACCATGAATGGAGGAACAGGAAAAAGGGATCTTCATGGGACACCTACTCTGTGCCAGGCACAGACCCCTGCCCTCGTGGAGCTTACATTCGGGTGGGTGAGGAAGGAGTGAAGAGAAAGATAGTGAGTGCTTCTTCGTTTCACTGCTCTGTTCCTTTTATGTGTGACAAGTGGTTTCTCCTACTAAGATCCCCGGAGCTGCCTGCGTATTCCCTCTCCAAGCCAAGCTCATCAGGTTTCACTTTTACTCTGTAAACTCTTTTCGATCTTCCTAACACATTCCCTCTGGGTTTAGATTATTCCTAATCTAATTTAGTATGCAGAAATGCGTACTAAATCCCATATGGCTTAAAGAAATGATTTTTAAGCCTCAGGGGCAGAAGAATCACGTAGAGGGTGGTTAAAAGCACATATTTTCATGACCCTTCTAGAGCAATTTTGATTAATAAGGTCCGCTCTGGGTATCGCAAACAATCAAATAAATGAAACAGGTACTCTGGCGCAGGGGATTCTGAAACCACTCTTTAAGAACCATCATATTTAAGGGGCGCCTGGGTGGCTCAGTCGGTTAAGCGCCAGACTTCGGCTCAGGTCATGATCTCACGGTTTGTGGGTTCGAGCCCCACGTCAGGCTCTGTGCTGACAGCTCAGAGCCTGGAGCCTGCTTCAGATTCTGTGTCTCCCTCTCTCTCTGCCCCCCCCCTGCTTGTGCTCTGTCTCTCTCTCTCTCAAAAAATAAACATTAAAAAAAATTTAAAAAAAAAGAACCATCATATTTAAGAGTCAACTAATATTTTCAAACGTAGGAAGACAAGTGGAAAATAAGAAATTTATGAGATCCGTAGTGAGGTGGCAACTTTCTTTCTATGGCTTTGAAGTAAAAGAAGCAACTGCAGAGGAGAAAATAGAATCATGTACATAAACATCGAGATATCCGTAAATTAAAAATCTAAAGGATAAGAGCCAAGATAGAAAATGTTTCTATCAAATGTGACAGACAACAGTCTAATAGGCATAACAATCTATGATAAGCTTTCAAATTTAACACGACTGGATAAAAGGGATATTTTTACATGAAGGAGAACGCGAATAGTCAAGAAATACATAAGAGAATGTTGTCTTCTAAAATAAGCAAGAAAATGAAAACTAAAGCAACATGAAGGTATTGTCTTATGTCTGCTAAACTAACGGCAGCGGAAGATTCAATGACTTGCCAATGGTGCCCCGGTGAGAGGAGGCACCCTTGTAACTCTCATGCCCTGCTGAGGAAACTTCTGAAAAGCTATACTCCCCCCAAATAACCAAGGTGGTCTTCTCTATTCTTGAGGCCTATGAAATCTAGAACACAAGATTTCTACATCAAGAATTTTTTAGTATTCGGGAATAAGTCGTAGCTCATCCCCAACTCCAGGAAGCCCCTTTAGTCGCTCAGACCTATGGCCTGTTGTGTTTAGACATAAGGGCCCAAGGTCCATCACTTCCCTATGCTAAGGCTGTGAGATAGAGCAAACGATGATGACAACAACAACAACAAGACATGCTTTTAAATATTGTATGGGATACAATTATATTAAAAAACTTCTTGTTTGTCTGAAGTCCAAACTTAACTGGGAATCTTGCATTTTATCTGACAACCTTACCCTAAGCACAGATACCCCAATCTTTCCCCCCTTGGGAGCTTACAAAAGGACACTCATTGAATGGTCCATGACAATATCCAGCTCCAGGGATTAGGGGTACCTTTGATCCTTGATCTCTTAGAACTATAGGACAAAGGTGCAACACTTTTTTTAAATCTTTAAATCTGCTAACTCAACCAGACACTTTGAATTCAGAATCTGGAGTCTCTTTCAGCCCAGTCTCTTGGCCCTCAACCCTCAGGCTGGGTCCTTTAGCCAACAAACCCTAGAAGTAGGTGGGTTCTTGACTCACCAGCCGAAAATCAGCTCAAAAATCAACTTCTCTAAGCTTTGGTTTCCTTGTGTGTGGGTAATCCTACCACCCCTGGGGGGGAAAGAAGAATATATTTTGTCATTTATTTTTTTTTGTCTGTGAAGACTATAAAGCCAGGCAGATAAACAGGGATAAACCAAAGCGGTTACCTATAAGGGACGAGATGGGAATGAGGTCAACGGGGCCCATTTTGTATTATTTTATTCAAGAACCATGGGAGCGAATTACATATGCAAATAACAGTCCTTGCAGTTCCGTTGTAAGGATGAGATCATGCAGGTACAGCACCTGGCATACTCAGGGGGACTTACAAAATGGTGCTGGTTTATTTCCACTACAGTAGCCCCCGCCCCCCTTTTTTTTAAAGCTTTTATTTGTTTGTTTGTTTGTTTGTTTGTTTTGAGAGGGAGAGAAAGACACAGTCTGAGTGGAGGAAAGGCAGAGAAAGGGAGAGAGAGAGCATTTCAAGCAGTCTCAACACTGTCGGCGCAGAACTCGATGCTGGGCTCGAACCGACGAACCACGAGAGCATGACCCGAACTAAAGAGTCTGACGCTTAATGGACTGAGCCATCTGGGCGCCCCTCCGCTGCAGCATCTTGAACCTTTTGAAGGGGACCTGTCCTTGTCTAGCACCTGATGTCCTGTAGACTAAGAAAAAGCAAAAGTCATCAGCTGTATTCTCAGGGAGCTGTTCTAATATTTCCCCACCTTGAAGCCTATGGTGATGCTTGCTTCCCTGCCTTGCTATTCTGCATTCCCTTGCTATTCTGCATTCTTTCCTTCCTGCTTCCCTCCAGCCACATCCAATTTTGTGTCCTCAGAAGTGGACGGCAGACCAATTTTGGGCTTCATGATTTCGTTCTGGCTCACTACTGCCCACTCCATTTTCCTTCCCCTCGTTAAATGCTACCTCTTCTTGTGCAGTGGACCGGTAACTCACTATGTCTTAGATCAAGCAACTCTAAGAATAGTGGGTGTCAAGAACAGTGCTAAGGAAAGGAGTTGGCTCTGAGTGGATTTGCCCATGTGGGAAAGCAGTGAGGTGAGGAGATTTAGGAGACATCTGGTTAATGCCAGTAATTTAGAGATTCATGTGCCGTGACTGGCTTCCAGAAACCTCCTGGGCTGACTTCATCGAGTTTCTGGGAATGTCTCTCTGGTTCAGGATTGATTTGTGATGAGACTCACTTTCCAGCAATGAAGAGAGAGAAGAAAGGAAGAACGATAGAAAAATTTGTCTTCCAGATTCATGAGAGACGGCTAAGAAAGGAAAGAGATGACCCGAGCCAAGGACCGAGGAGCTCTAGGGCAGTGTGTGAGGAAACCGCCTCACCTCAGCATTCAAGATGGGGACGCCATCTTCGCGGGCCTTCACTGTGCCCTTGCTATTTGCCTACTGGGTGGCCAAAGACGAGGCCTTTCTGGACTTGTGAAATGAAGACCCCAGAAGGTCCTGCATGTTTGTGGCCTGCTGTCCACTTCTGAGGAACCAGCTCCTTCCCTGGCCTAGGATACTCCTCCTTGTTGACCATTTTTGCCTTATGCTTCTTGTCTTCCTTGTCCCAGTTCAAATTGTGTATGGTATTCTCAACTATGACGTTCTATTACCTCTAACTGATCTCCAGTAGTGTATTAAATTTTCAAAACTAAGTCTCTGTGTTGTAGAACAGTAGCATTTGTCAAAGATATACCCGGAACGGCCTTGGGTCAGTGCTTCCTTTGAAGCTTAATGATCTAGAGGTACCTGGAGACAAAGATTTACTTTTTTATTCACTCTATCTTTTTCTTAAAAACATTTTGATAAGTTTGTGCTAGCACCTCGCACAATCTTAGAGCTTCTCTCTGCCATATTTTTAAACTTTTCTTGAAAAAAAGAGTGCAGGTTGAATCACTGTGTTATACAGCTGACACCAACACAACATTGTATGCCAACCGTACTCCATTTTTTTAAAAAGAAATTGTATAAATAAGCTTCTGAGCCTTTTGAAAATAATGTTCAAGGACATATACTTGAATAAATGTATTAACTCTATCCTTGGTCCGTGTATGAATGCGTTTTTGGATCACTCAAGACTGTCACTGTTGGGTATGGAAATACCGATTAAAATTAAAACCAGGTTATTCAGACTGGAGCTATTTATTAATGTCTACTTACGACTACGTTTGAAAATTATTAGCATAAAAAATGATAAAGGGTGTTGTGCAACTCCATGAGAGATTCAGACGAATGTTGCTCGCCTCTGCTCTCCGCGAGGGGAGGGGAGAGGCTAGGAATAAGACAAGTTACACTAATTTGTGCAATTTGCATTACTTGCTATTGGAAGATACTTTTCAACAGGCCATGGAGGTACAGAAAGAAACAAAATAAAGTCTTCCTAGAGTTTGCATTCTTTCTTAACACGGTCTTCCTTAATGGGATTCTAGAACTGAGGAATCTGGGGGAAGAGAATCAGTGGTTGAGAAGATTTGGACACAGGGCAGAGAAGGGTGAGTGTGAATCAAGGCACAGAGAGGCAGATAATGCAAGAGATGTTTGAAAGGGTGGCTGTTACCAAAGGAGGTTTATCCTCTGTAGGTGGCAGTATGGTCAGACTATGGAGGAGGCACACTTCTGATTTTCCTTTCTATAGTGCTAAATCAAATATTTTAAGTTGCTGAGCATAGGCTCATAAGTTTTAAGAAACCTACTCATAAGTTTTAAGAAACTAAAGCTTAACATTTGGGGAAACACTGGCCAAAACATCGGATTGCACTAGGAATTTGAGAGGTAGAGAAGGAAGTAGAAGTATTAATTAAGAGTAAGAAGCCAGTTGGCCATCTTCCATTCAATGGGATTAACTCACCCTGGGTTGAAATGACCTCGACAAACACAATGGCTTTGATTAAACTCCCCCCTGAAACTGGCGGTATAGAGTACAATTTTTACCTATCCTAGTTTGATGGAAATTCTAACAGGAAAAGTAACATGCCATTGACATGGGGCATTGCTTCTTGATGAAAGAAAAAAAACTCAAACAGGAGGTAGCTGGGTCAGTATAGGATTAAATGAGAGGGGGCTGGTATTTTTAAGCACCAAGCTGGAACATTTGGATGAATTGTCTTCCCTCTGGGTAAAATTCTGCCTCACTCTCTGCTGAGGGTGGTTAAAATTACAACCCTTTCCAATGGGCAGTACTAGAGACACGCTGACCATCCTTAATCACAGTCTCTCATTTTTCTAGACCTTTTCTTGAATTATCATGGAACCACCTATCATGGGTTATGTTGCTTGAGTTATATTTTAGTCTCCTCCATCATGTATGAGAGAGAGAGACCTAGTCTAATCAGCAATATGTTCTTAGAGCTTATTCTGCAGATGGTAATCTCATCTGTTTCCATTGGCTTCTCTTCTTTTTAGTTTTGGAAGGCAATTCATTAAAAAAGAAAATTTCATTGTTTATCGTCTCAGTATAACAGTCATACACATTTGATGTAGAAAATTTAAATGAAAACATAAACAAAGAAAAGAACATATCTTCTATAGTTCTGATAATATAAAAAACAAATTTCATGCATCGTTTGATAATTCATGTTTGCTACCAAAAAATCTCTGTGTAGTTCAATATTCAGACATGAGATTCTTTAATAGCTACATAGTATTTTATTGACTGCATATTCCTTGGTTTACATAATATATCCCATATGTTGGATAATGAGATTCAATATTTAGGATTCTTAGTTTAAGAATTTTGCTGCATTGAACATCCTGTAGTTTACTTTTATTTTTTTTTTTTTTTAACTTTTGCCCTCAACCGTGGTTATTTCCATGAGACAAGTTCCTACATGTGGAATTGTTGGATCAATCTATGTGCACATTATAAGACTTTTGCTAGATACTGTCACACTGATCTTGTAGAAGGTCGTACACTGTATTTTCTGAGCTGCAGTGTTTGAGGATGCCTGTTTTCCTAGATGAAGTGTGTCTTCTGGACTTTGTCTTCAAATTCTAGTGGTTTTCTTTTTTTTCAAATTTGGAAACTATGAATTACAGATGGTGACTGGGAAGTATTATGAATTCCTGATATGATTCCAGCTCATATTAATTGAGTTTGTTAGTCAAATGAATGAGTTAAGTAAGGACAGTGATTTTAGAGACAGTAGTATGAAACTCAAAGTTTTTAGTACAATGGAAAGGATTAAATATCAGTTTAGGTGAAATGGCTTTTTATTCTAGCTTTATGATCCTAAACGGGTATAATCGTGGCAAGCTTCAACTTTTTCACCTGTAAAATGAGGATGTCCTACTTATTTGTAGGTGAAGTAGACCATGTGGTCTAAGCATGAGTGATCCCATTACCACTTTGAGGAGTAAGCTTTGACCTATATAAACCCCCCAATATAATCTTATCTCCCTTTCCTGGTAATTGGTTGAGAGAAAACAACCTAGCTTAAGCCAATCAGCACATTGCATTTGTAGTAGATTGTATCATTTTCAAAATATGTCAAGCATATCACATCTGGATGTTCTCATGGAAGGACTTTATTTCTTACTCCACTGATAACAGTCCGAGGCAATGACTTGCTTTGTCCCCTGAAATGGGGGTTGAAGTTATATGTTCCATTTCCAAGGGGAAGGTTGAAGAGCTAGCACATGGGTCTGCTGTCAACATTTACCCCCTGCCGCAAGATTGATATGCCCTAGAAATTGACTGTTCCTTCAGTCTTAGTCCCCCAACAAAGAGGGTATGGATGAAGTCTCAGCTGATCCACAGCTACCAACAAGAAAGTTAACGACAAATAAGCCTTTTTTCTTGGTAAGCCACTGAGGTCTTGGAGTCATTTGTTACCACAGCACAGCTTATCTTAGGCTGACTCATACACCATTTCTCGGGCCAGATTGAACATTTTTAAAGAGCGAGTACCTAACCTAATTTTATCTGTTAGGGATGATTCTCAAGGCATGTGTTTGACATCGGGGAGAAGAGGCACTCTCTGTCTTCGGAGGCTGTGATATATAGAGGTGTCACAAGGAAATGCTGTAGCATTTTGTTACTATGATAGAAATCAGTCCGAGGAAAGAGCAAACGAATGAGAATAACACCAAAAGAACTGCGTAGAAATGGAGCCAGAACCCTAATCTTAAATCAACGTCTGAAGTTGACATTCCTTTGAACTCTTCAGTTAAATAAAGCAGAAATAATAAACTCCCTCTACAGTTTAAGCTACACTGAGTTGAATTTTCTTTTATTTGCAGCCAAAGCATTGTGGTTGGTTCAAATGTCTCACACAGCGTGATTAAGCAGTACACGGTGTGGGAAGCATGGCAACAGGACGATACCATGAAATGGTAATTTTTGGCAGGTGTTTGTGCTGAGGGTGGTTGAAAGAGGTGAGGTAAAACTCAGAATTCTAGAAGATAAGGGATTCTGAGAGTAGGGTTCAGTATGGTTATTCTTCTGTAAGGCTGAAGTTAGAAACTGGGTGGGGGATAGGGTGAAGAAGAGATAGTCTCTTCATGGTTTCACACAGACTGATTCTGGAAGTTCTTCACTCTGTGCTCTCCTTGTTCTTGTGGTCCTAGTATTGGTTCTCATCATTCTAGCTGACCCCAGAACTTCAAACACTTCCTGCTTGGCTAGATGTCCACTTCCAGCCCGCCCTGTTCTGTCACAGTTCATACTCTTAGCAGAGAGGCCTTTTCCCAGCTTCATCACTTGACTGGTAGGGGGCTTAATTAATTAACATTTGTAACATGTTTCCAGCTCTTTAGTGGATTAGGGATAATTAGGAAAGCAGAGCCAAGAGCTTTTTATTATCTTCCTCTCTGCTGGTCTCTTTTCCTGCTTCTTCTGGAGAAAGTGGCATTGATGTTGACTTGAATGCACTTGAACTTGTTATACTGTCTCGTTTCATTTTTCATGAAGTAGATTCAGATGTCTCCCTGGTCCCCCATGGCAAACACTTTCCAAGGACCAGTCATTTCTCCTATAGACGAGGCAAATTCAATGCTGATAAATAATGCAAGCTTATAATCGCTATAAAGGGCAAAGTGTTTGAAAGCCACAGGTGAAAACTGCTGAATTCTTGCATCCTTCCTCTTACAAGAAATCCCCCTCCTAGCCAACTTGGACATCACGGTTATCCCATGGCCCCCACCCTATAATTGCCTCCCCACAGATAGTGCCCTGAAAACTATGGAATTTAAATGTTATGTTCTCTCTCTTTTTTTCTTTGCATCTTGATCGAAATTTTTCCTTTGCTTTCCTTACTTTACAACACATAAGATGAATCAGTCAGGAACTGCATTTGGAGCTAATAACAGAAACTTGAATTAACGTGGCTTAACAGCATGAAAATTTATTTTGCTCTCTCACTTAGGCAGTCTGGAGGGTGACTTTCTATAGTTGTTATGGCGGTTCTGTGATATAAACTGTTCAAGCCTTCTTTTATCTTTGTGTTCTGCCATCATTAACATGTGATTTCCATCTTCAAGGGGCAGCATGGCCACCGCCAGCTCCAGGCCTCCAATCTGTATTCTAGACAGGAAGAAGGAGAAAGGGGAACAAAGCAAAAAGGCCTCCTAACTAGATTAGCACCCCTCCTGAAAGCCTTATCTAGAACTTACTTCACCATCCCCACCTTAGGGTGAGGCTGGCAAAAAGTAGTTTTGCTTCAGGGCACAGTGATGCCCCCAACGAGGTCAGGTTTCTATTATTAAGGAAGAAGTGATAATGGGTAAGAAGTAGACCATTATCAGCTTCTATCACAGGGTGAGTTAATCCCATTGAATGGAAGATGGCCAACTGGCTTCTTTTTATTAATACTCCTATTTCCTTCTCTACCTCTCAAATTCCTAGCAATTCCAGGAGAAAACAATGTGTCTTAAATGATAATCCTTAACTCAGTAATAATTACTAATGTGTGTATGGTATCCTAGGTTATCAAAACTAAATCCTCCAGTGGTCATGGCCTGTTGGGGTCTTGGGTAACTTTAGAGAGCAGAGACCATTTTATTT